TAGTACTTTGCAAGAAGAGGTCTTTATGAAGTTTCCAGCAGGTTTATCTCCACCTACTGTTAATCATGTCTGTTTACTGAAGAAATTATTATATGGGTTAAAACATGCGTCACGACAATGGTATGCCCGTCTTGCAGGTGCTTTAAGTTATAAAGGCTACTCAATATCTCTAAATGATTACTCTTTGTTCTTTAAAAGGAGGAATAGCCTAATTTCAGTTGTAGTAGTTTATGTAGATGACATACTCATTAATGGAGATGACACGGAAGAAATTTGTAATGACCCAACCGATCGTTTTGAGTATTACAATCTCGTTCCCCCATTTACTGCTTAATTTATACTTTGCAGTTGTTATGTGACTTGTCGGGATGATTGGTTCGGGTCCGGTGAGGTGTTAGAATGAATTGGAATACTTAGTTCCAAGGTTTAAAACTTAAGTTAAAATAGTAACCGAATATCGACTTATGTATAAACGACCCCGGGATAAAGTTTTGATGATTCCAATAGCTCTGTATGGTGATTTTGGACTTGGGAGCGTGTCCGAAAAATTATTTGGAAGTTCGTAGTTAAATTAGGCTTGAAATGACTAAAATAGAAATTTAAGTTTGACAGTATGACCGGGGAGTTGACTTTTTGATATTGGAGTCGGAATCCAGTTCTGAGAATTTTCATAGCCCCGTTATATCATTTACGACTGGTGTGCAAAATTTAAGGTCAATCGGCCTTGATTTGATAGGTTTCTGCATCGAAAATAGAAGTTGAAATTTCTTAGTTTCATTAAGCTTGAATTGAAGTATGATTCGTAGTTTTAGTATTATTTGATGTGATTTGAGGATTTGACTAAGTTCGTATGATATTTTAGGACTTGTTGGTATAATTGGTTGAGGTCCCGGGGGGCTTCGGGTGAGTTTTGGATGGTTAACGGACTAAATTTTGGACTTGGAAGAAATTTGGAAATTTCTGCCTTCTGATGCAATCGCACCTGCGGAATTTGGCTAGCAAGTTCGAGCTCGTAGAAGCGGGAGGTCCGCAGAAGTGGACAGAATCTTGCAGAAGTGAGTCCGCAGAAGCGACACCAAGGTCGCAGATGCGGAGGCAAGGGAGGCTGGGCAAAACCGCAGAAGCGAACGCTTCTTCGCAGAAGAGAGTCCGCAGAAGTGGACTTCTGCAGAAGTGGGGGCAGTCACAGAAGCAGTTGGATTCTCACACCTGCGAGACCGCAGAAGTGACTAAGTGAGTCGCAGGTGCGGAACCCCTGGACAGTATACATTTCGAAGGGGTTCCGAGTTTTGCCATTTTTGGACCTTCAAGCACGATTCTTGGGACGATTTTCAGAGAGAATTCACGGAAAACTTGAGGTAAGTCACTTGTGATCATTTCTACTCCATAATATTGAATTATCATCGAATCATCCAACTAGATTACGTATTTTTGAGGTGTAAATCGGGAATTTGGACCAATGGATTTGGAAATAAGATTTGATGATTTGGAGGTTGAGTTGATGTCAGAATTTTGTATGGTTAGAATCTTGGTCGAATGGGCGTTCATATTTTATAACTTTTGTCGGGTTCCGAGACGTGGGCCCCACGAGCAATTTTTGGGTGCAATTTCGGATTTTGTTGGAAAATTAGTATTTTCATATGGAATTAATTCCAATAAATTGTATTGACTGAATCGAATTAATTATGACTAGATTTGAAGCTTTCGGAGACCAATTCGCGAGGCAAGGGCATAGCGAAGTAAGAAATTATACGATTTGAGGTAAGTAACACTTCTAAACTTAGTTCTGAGGGTATGAATCCTCGAATTGGTGTTATATAAATTATTTGGAGGTGACGCACATGATAATTAACGAGCGTGTGGACGTGCATCATAGAAATTGTGACTTGAATAAATCCTGTGAAGTTGTAAAATTAAAGAATCATGTTATTATCTGAACATATTCCACGTGTTAGAGAAATTGAGCTGAGGCTCTTATTAAAGATCATGTTTAGGCTACGTGCCGATATTTTGGGATCCATGGGGTCGTGTTGCTGTTGAATTAATTATTTTAAAAATGTACATTTCACACTCAGTCATATTCGTCCATTATGAGGATATTTATGGGATCGAGCTGCGCGTCGCAGCAGGCCATGTTGGCTTTATTTATATTATTATTATATGGATCGGGGTTGCCACCCTGCGGCAGGACTTATAGGCTTTATTGTTATACGGATCGGGACTGCCCGCCTGCGGTAGGCCATATCGGCTTTATATCACGCTTGGGCTGAAGGATCGCCTCCGGAGTTTGTACCCACCCCCAATGAGCGTAGATGATTATATATTCGGGATAGACTTCTCAGGGCATGGACTTACCTTACTTATTTATATTGTGATGAATTTCCCTGGACATGGATCTTGTCCATACCATTTATATTCGAGGATAAATTTTTTGAGGACTGGATTGGCCTTATACGGTACTGAGTGACTGACTGTCAGTCGATGTGTATATATATATATGCGAGATGGAATATCCCTAGGCTGGATTGGCCATAAATAGTACCGAGTGACCGAATGAATTATGACCCGTAGAACATGAGGTTTTTCCACTGAGATGTCATATTCCTCAAATCATGCAGTATTGGTCTATTGCTTGTAATGAGTTTAATTGTTGAACTTGAAAGCATGCCTACATTTCTGTACCATTATTTATGTACTGAACTGTACCTGCGGAGCTCATCACTACTTTCAGCCTAGAGGTTAGTCTTGTTACTTATTAAGTTGGTTGTACTCATACTACACTCTGCACCTCGTGTGCAGATCCAGGTGCTTTCGGACACGGTGACCGTTAGATCTCAGAGTGCTATCAGTTGGAGACTATCAAGGTAGCTCCCTGAAGTCCGCTCACCTTGACTCTCTTTGTTTCAGTTATTGTACTGTTCTATACTTTCAGACAATATTTTATTAGTCAGACTTTGTATTCATATTAGATGCTTATGCACTCAGTGGTGCCGGGTTTTGGGAGTGTTTATAGTTGTATTTGTGAGATTCTTCCGCTGAATTTAATCATTTTGTTTTCAAATTTAAAAGATATGGTGGTTTATTGAGATTGTCAGCTTGCCTAGTATTGAGGCGTCATTACGACATATGAGATTTTGGGTCGTGACAAAATTACTGCCCTTATATATTTTCTCAACACTGAATTCAAAGTCAAGGACTTGGAAAATTTACATTACTTTCTAGGCATGGAGATACTTAGAGAAAAACAGGGCATTATCATGTGTCAGATGAAATTCACCTTGGATTTATTGAAGGAATTTGGTGTCTCTTATCTCTCATGTGTTTCTTCACCTCTGGAGCCTTCTGCCAAATTGCATGCCGAAGAATCTTAGTGATCCCACTATTTATCGACACCTTGTGGTGAAGATGAACTATTTAACCCACACAACGCCCGATTTATCCTTCGCAGTGTTGAAATTGAGTCAGTATATGCAACAAACACGATCTTCTCACTTCACAGCTGCACTTCGAGAATTACGATACTTGAGATCAGACCCAGGACAAAGGATTCTTCTGAACTCAGATCCCTCATTTTCTTTGTTAGCATTTTGTGACGCCGACTGGGCTTCTTGTCCAGAAAGTCGACGATCTGTCAGAGGGTTCTACATCACTCTTGAGGGATCTCGAATTTCTTGGAAATAGAAGAAACAGACCTCTGTTTCCTTATCGTCAGCTGAAGCGGAGTATCGCTCCATACGTAGAGTTGTCGCTGAGCTCACTTGGCTCACATGTCTCCTCTCCGATATCTCTATGTCGTCATCCTTGCCGGTGCCGGTCTTCTCTGATAGCAAAGCAGCCATCAACATTGCTCGAAACCCCGTCTTCCACGAAAGAACGAAGCATGTGGAACTCGATTGCCACTTCGTTCGGCAACAGTTTCTTTTCGGACTCATTTCCCTTTCTTATGTTCCATCCTCGTCTCAACTCGCTCATCTATTCACCAAATCTCTCTCAGGTCCTTCACATAGTTCCGCTATTGACAAGCTGGGGGTAATTTCTTTACCCTCCACCTTGAGGGGGGATGTTGAGAAAAAATCATTAATGGCGGTTGCTATCTCTCATGAAGAAGAAGAGGGAAGAAAGTTTCTAGGTTTTCAGTCAAATGAGAGTGTTTCAGATACTTCTAGGTCAAAGACTTATTTGGACTCTCCTTTAGACTCAACACGTGGCCTCATCTCAACGATTGTGTAAATATATGATGGATTAAATAATAGCCGTTCAGATGAGCAACATCACAACTTATTTTACAACTGCACAACATTGGATCCCAATCTTAAAAATTTGTCACATGGAACGTGTATATAGCATAGAGAGAATAATCTTCAGTTATTTTGTTATTAGCTAGCAAATAGGATTTAGACACATGTACAAATAGTTATTTTGATTCTTTTATTTTTCATAGAATAGTTCTATTTATACATTGTCTCTGTACAAAATGAATACACACAAAATTTCCACAAAATTGTTTCTTCTCTTTTACAGTACTCTTTCAGCATGACCCGGATTCTATGTTTTTTCTCTTGAATTTAATTAACTATATAAAAACTTTTACACGTTTAATGTTATTTGACCGATTCTAACATGTCTAGCATTTTTCTCAGTAACCAAGTTATTCTAAACACTTTTTTATCTAACAATGATTGTGTAAATATGAATAGAACTTAAACGGATTGACAATATGATAACAATAGCCCAACAATGACGCAAGTCATATTCCTTGTGGAGACAAATGTGCACGTAGACGTAACGAGCTATAAGGAGAGAAGAAACCGGCACGTCGTTGAGATTGATCTTTGTTATCATACTACTGTATTATATATGCGACGTTGGGATAAGGATCCAAAGGAAAAAAGAAGGATTAAAAAAATCTACTAGTCAAAGATCGATGACGAATAATGAATGGTGACAAAAGGGTATGGCGTGGGAGTTGCCATTTAATAATCCCAACTCCCCTCGCTTTCACTTTGAGTGAGCTTCTATTAAGATCACCAACTGATTCTTTACCATCTTTAAGAACTTGCCACCTCAATATTCAAGACCGCAGTGTCCTCATCTTCAATGTCTCTTTCTTTAATTCTTGTTCACCTATAGCAGATAAGTCATAAATTTGTGATATATATGCACAAACACAGAAACACTACGTTCTTACTCCATAATAAAAAGAAGCTAGAGAGGACAATAAGCCCAGACAAGAAAAAGATCCCGGCTTTTAGAAACAATGAACCGGCTCGAGAATAAAGACTTAATTTGCTCCTTGCCTGTTATACCAAGATTAGATCGACTGGATTTCTTGGTAAGTTCTTTTTCTGTTTCACCAAAAATATAGAGCAATATATAAAGGCGCAATACAGTATAATTTTTCGACGAATGGTTCCACTAAATCAGCCTGTTCTTCGTCGGTTGTATCAATAGTTCAATACAAGTCGTGAACAATAGTCTGTCTTCTGATTGAATAAATTAAATGGTGATTATGTGCAGCTGCAGCTTCTGGAAGAGAAACATGGGGTTTCGGGAAGACATTCCCTAAATACTGTCGCAAAGAAAGCAGAAGAAGAAGAAGAGGATAAGTGCAAGACTCAGACTCTGACTCTATCCTCTGCTCTGGAACAAGTTTATCTCAAAGGCACACTCATAGAGCGGCTCACAGCGCTCGAGAACCGAGTTTCGCAGGTAACTAGAAAAGTAGGAGATGTAGGTAGCGTTTTGACGAAAAAAAGAATTTTTTAAGTCAACAATCAAAAATAATTTTTAGAAGTTGACGCACACTGTGCGTGGACAAATACTTTTTTTGAAAAAAAGTTTTAAGTCTTGTGAGTATAAGAAAAAATTTCACCCTACTAAACCTGGGAACTTAAAAAATATATTCTTGTATTTTTAATTTTAATTTTTCCTTGCAGTTAAGGTTAGAAATGGATGAAGGAAAGACGTCAAGGTGGAGCTCAACAAAGTCATCAAGGCATGGTTCAGTTGCATATAAAGCTGCAAGGAGTGAAGAAGATGAAAAGGCCAATCTCCAGGAGAGGCAACTCGAGGTAAACATACAAGGATAACATACAACTAATTAATTGAGAAAAGTTAGTAATTAATAATGAGAAGAAAAAATAAGTTACTGTACCTCATTGATAGATCATAGAATACAACACACTTGAAATAAAACACGTGTTGCAGTAACTTTTTTCAGCTTTATATAGTTAAATGTTTCAATTTATTAATTTAATTTTTGAATTCGAAAGCTAAAGTAATAAGTGCCTGTTCAGAAAATGTTATGTTTGTTAAGATAATAATGTATTAACTTATATCTAAAAGTATTCTAACTGAATATATATTATTTTACATCCAAATTATACACACAATTAGAATTGTCTAACACTTTATATTTCTTTATCACTCTCAAATACTCACATCGTATTCTTGTCGTAATTCAAATTTTAAAAATCCTGAAAGAATTATGTCATACATGATACACCCAACTGTAATTAACATAGTGAGAGCATAAATTCCCCAAGCACGTTGAATACATTTTCAACATATTACATTAGATGATGAAAGATATAATAATTACTAGCATTAGTTAGCTAATTAATGGCTACATATAATATTGTTACTTCGCAGGAAGAAGCCTCGACTACTAAAGCAGCATCTTTAGCTGAGAAAACAAATCACAAAGTTGTTAGTAATGCTAAAATGAGAAGGCATCCAAGTAAATCCTACAGAAAATGGCTTGGCTGGCTCCATGTGAGATGTTAAAGTCTGAGATGTTAATTGAAGACAACAGAGATCTTATTTGTTTTTCTATTTTAAAGAATTAATATGTACCTGTAACGGATTAATTATTTGAACCCTCATATGATCAAGAGAAATTTGGGCTTGTAGCTTCAAATGAATTGTATGTTAATTAGTTTGATGCTTGCTTGAATTCGATCGACTCATCCATAGTTGGTTGTGAACTTGTTCAATGTTGATCTAGAATTTTACATATTGTTTGTTCGGTTTTTTTATATTTATAACATGATCTTCGGATTAGTTTGTGTGCATCTCAATTAATTCTAGGGATATATGCTACCTTCCTCCACCAATACCTATCAGGTTTTTCAATCTGCTAAAGTTTGGACAGATAAGAAGGGTGCAATAGCTATACTGAGACTAGGGATATTTTTTTCTCGTTGTGACTTTTCGGTGATTGTCAGAGTAGTAAAGAGTGAAATCAATGCTGGTAGGAGCAAGAGACGTGGATAATGATTTAACTATACTTCATATACTTAAGAGGGACATGGTCTTTTATGATATTTTAATGCTAGAAGAAAATACAACAATTACATCTCCTTAAAATAATGAAAATGAGTTGCAAAAACTCACATTAAAAACGTTCATATAACTCTTGGAAGCAAAATCTCGGGATTTCTTTTTGTGGAAGCCAAACTGATACTATGTGAGAAGAAGAAATTCATCGCTAATCTATTCAATGTTTTAGATATTTGATTGAAAATTTTTGATATTGTAGTTCTTTTCTTTCTCAATTCACCCCCGACGTTACAGTAGCAATAATTCTGCTATATTTGATATGTGGTCCTAAAATGTAGACAAAGTAAACTTTTTGAAGAATTTAGTAAAAAAAAAAGGACCACCTTGATATGATAGAAGAATATTGGATAACGCACAAGAGAAAAGTTTTCTTTCAGAAAATTGATACTCCAATTTTAAGACAATCCAAAATAGTATAGTAAGTGAGTTGTTTTCTATTTTAGTAATACTTTTAATAAGACACGAGTTAACTTTTTGTGTTGCCCTAGCTTCGTGAATACTCGATATTGTACATAGTCAAATGCTGTCACAACTCACCGGTTCAATCCGATTAACCTCACATACCAAATCCATTTTGATTACTGTTTAACTGTAAAACGGTACAGTTGAATTTATACGTGGTTTCTAGATAAGTAAATTAATTTGATCCTGAAATAATGAAATAGTTAAAGAAATGCGCACTTAGCCTTGAAATGAAGATAGAATCACGAAAAACAGTAATTCCGGGAGCAGAGCTTCCGGGCACAACAGTGACGAAATCAAGGAACAAGAAGATAAAATTGTATAAAGCTTTTAATCGATTATAGCATAAGTTTCCTAGAAAAGTCGTGACCTTTACAATGATAACATAGCTCACTATTTAAGCTACGCCTAAGAAACAAGGTCCTAGGATCATGTCCTTATTTAATGTCAATTATGAGGGCCAATGATGGAGGTGTAATGGTGAGCAGAAATGACAAATTCTCTGTAACGGGGAGCGCACTAAATGTTGTGGAATATTCTCCATTAAATGCTACCGGGCGGAGGGTATTTATTGCATCTTTACGAGTGTCAATCTTCCCGGTGACAAACGGGATAATTGCCTTCGGTTCTAACTATCCCTCGCCTTAGGTTCCACGTGTCATTCTCTTAAACGACCACTTAGCATAGTATATTTTACCGTATACAGATAGTCCCTCTGCTTTCCGGTGACATAATATTATGTCACCGCAAAGTTGGTAGAAATACTCTTTTTGGCGGGAACTACTATGATTCCTTCTGAAAAGCTTCTGACGGTTGATTCGACACACGTCTCTCCACATTTAATGCCCCGAACATGCGTCATCTCACAATTCAGCATAAATTTTGTCAGTAATCGAGGTAATCATGGCCACGAGTTTAGCCGCCTAAACCTTTACTTATACGCATCAACCTTTTTCATTCATACTCCATAACTCTACAAACTCTCTAAAAATCTCTTTATTATTCTTTAACATTTCTTTAACTTTCTTCAAATGAAAAAGTTTTTCCTTCATTCATAACATATAATGGCTTCTTCTTCAAAGAATACCAGTTCTTCAAAGAACAAGAACAAAGCCGAGGACGCTGCTCCTCCAACAGTGCGCATTATCATCCCTAGAAGTCTTGTTACCACAAAAGACTTTGAGGAGAAATTCCCTTCAGCTAATCCACGCACGTGGGCCGTTGGCAGATACCGTTCTTCCATCCGTCCTTCCAATATTTCTGTTGTGAAGGAAGATTGCCGCTGCCAAGATTTGGACATTGTTTCTCCTGATCTAACAGAGTGAGTAACCTTACCCAGGGAGGGTTTTACATACTTTTACACGTATCCCTTTACTTTGGGGTCGTTTTCTTTGAGTGGAGAGCTTGACTCCGTTATTATATCCTTAGCTCATATGATGAATCTTTATTCCCCCAAAGTCTTTCACGGGGGAATAATAAACTTCAGCAAACGCGGCCACCATGCTTTATTATCTAGTATGGATGATGACAACAACAGTGGGTGGATGGAATTGTTCATTGTGGTCACTATCAATGATATCATTCCGGAAATGGCTTCATCCTTTTTGGAATCATAGAACCGCACTCGTAAGCTCCTTGTTTAATATTTCTTTTACTATAAATTTCTTCATATCCGTATTGATCCTCCTCCCTTTGCCTGTTTCAGCAACTCGATGGGTTCCACCTAGGGTTGAAGGCTTAGCTCAGTGGGTCCAGAAAATCTTAGATGTTACTATGCCCGAAACCCGCACATGGAAAGAACTGGCCCTCAAATACAGGTGGAAGGCCAAAAATCATGGTAACTTAGACTCATGCGCTCAGTTGTCGTCCCCGAGGAGGATGTTTTGGCTTATCCTGCTGACGTGGCGAGGCTGCTTTAGGAGGCGCTTACTCGAACAGGTGTCTCCGGGCCTACTTCGGGTACAAATGTTTCTTCACGGAGTCCCCGACCAGAGGACAAGCAACCAAAAAGAAGACGTTCCTCCGTGATCGGGGAAAAGAATAAGAGGGCGAAGACTGCTGCCCACGAGTCGTCTCCGAAAGTCGTGGTGACTAGCCCTCCTCCCAGGCCGGCCATAGACACCGTGATGATTGACGATGATGGAGAGGCTAGTGATGGGGAAGCTTCTCTACATAGAAGGCGACGATCCTCATCAACTTAACAGAATGCTCAACCTGTTGAGTTAGTTACACCAACCGAGGATGATGTCTCGACACTTTGGGGGGATTTTGAGATGGTAGAAAATGCCATCTCCTATTTTCGGATCCTAGTCGTTATGTCCAGTATTGCAATGCTGTGTACCGGGTTTTCATCTTCGGTTGGCGAGCAACTAACAACCAGCATTGTGTTTGCCGCCATTGCTTCTCACCCTTCATCGCCATCAGCTTCATCTCCTTCTTCACCAACTCTTCTATCAACAACTGCTACATCATCTCCCCTGGCCGCATCTGTCCGAGAAGAGGATGTTCCTCTTCCCCAGTCCCCAGTTCATGGAAATTTGGGGCAAAATTATGCTGCCACCTTTGAGGATCCGCAAAGGAGAAGGAACGTTACTCTCTCGGTCTCCACCGGATGCAATTTGCTATCCCGAGTAAACTTACATTAGTGGTGATTTACATGAGGGGCAAGCATATGGTACTTAGAGCCATACTTGTGACATTCTTTTGAGAGAGATGAGCGAACTTTTCACAAATCCTTGAAGTGAGTGCTACATTCTTAAGTGAGATATGCTAACAGAGAGTAGAGGAGGAGGAGTATGGGATCCACAATTATCTACATGAAAGAGCGAACTTCCTTGATGAGTAAAGTCAACTCTTGATGCTCTAGTGTCACATTAAAACTATTTGTGCTTAAAACTTCAAATCATTGCCTTATTGATAATTCATAAGTATTGTGGGTAATTGTTGGTTCCAATTGATGTGTGGTTGATTCACCTTAGATTAGCTGGAATAGATCTTATCTTGTGGAGGTGGGAATTAGCTTATTTGCTTGAGGACAATCAAAAGCTTAAGTTTGGGGGAGTTGATAAGTGAGAATTTTGACTACTTATTAGAGCCTTTTAGCTTTCGTTTTAGTCCAAAAGTGTCTAATTGTATTCCCGAAAACTAATGAAATATGCTTACCTGCAGGAGTATTGGAAAATGAGAAACTACGATGAAATCCAACTCAAAGAGGAGTGATCTGAACAAGGACAAAAATCAGGCACATAAGCTCAAGTGCGGACCGCAGATTTCTATCTGCAGTCGCAGAATGTGAAGGAAAATCAACAGATCCCCAGTGCAAAGTGCGGATCGCACAATTATTGTGCGGCCGCAGAAGCTACGTAAGAGCCAAAGTTCAGAGAGTTTCATTTCAAGTTCAAGAAAAAATGCGGACCGCACAATAATTGTGCGGCCACAGAAACAGGTATACGACCGCACTCAGGAAATGTGCGGTCCGCAGAAGAGCCTAGTGCAACCGCATCTAGAAATGTGCAGACTGCAGAACATGAGAGATGAGGCCGCAATCCAGAATTGTGCGGCCGCAGAGTCAACTCCTGTCAAGATATGAAGAGAAGTGCAGACCACACATATAATTGTGCGGCCGCAAAACCTCCAAAAGGGCAATTTTGTCCTAAAATTTCAGTTTTGTATAAATAAACTACTTTCACGAAATTAGGTCAAGTTTTGAATATTGAATGTCCTTTAGCCGTTTTTACTTGCCTCTTTAGGCAACTTTAGCTTACTTTGGTGATTTAACATTGGATTTTTATCTTTTAATCTTGCAATATGAGTTTTATCATCTTTTCTTCTCTATTTTCTTCTATACCAATTATGAGTAGCTAGATTTTTAACTAGGGTTGTGACCCAACCCTAGTGTTTAAACCTAATACGTGTTTGATTTATTGCTTGTTTATGGTTGGGTGTTGATTATCTAGCCTTGTTCTTGATTTTATTTGAAGATTTAATGGTTGCAAATATTATCTCATACCTAATTGACTTGGTCTCTACTTGAAAAAGAGAGACTTAGTCTAGAAAAACTTGTCTATCAAGAATTTGGGATAAAACTAAGAGATTGATAGTCCCAATTAAAGGGTTGAACCTAGAGATAGTAAAACCCGACTTGAGCATTTTATCTACAATTTTGTTCAATACCCATTTGGAC